ATTTAATTCATATTTATTCATTTATATTATTTGTTATTTAATAGGTACTTTGTTCAAATTGCTGATGTATGAGAAAAGGACCTTTTTATCATGTGTGCACAGCTTAAAATACCAGTTGAATCTTATTCCACAATAGCAGAAAGAACAAATTTTTTTTTGTCTTGCACAATATTAGTAAAAGTTGCACTATATATCTTAAAAGAATTAACTTGATAAAAAATGGATTAGAGGCTAATTGTGATATTTTCAACCATAAAAGGATCAAAGCAGCCCAAGACAATAGTAATGATGATATTATATATCCATTGCCAACAAAGAAGAAAAGAACTACAAAGGACACTAAAAATTAGTGGATGTATGTATTTTCTTGACTCAACAAATTATTAATTACCTTTGGTTAAAAAATAAATTTACAAGTTGATAAAATTCATATATAGAACTATACATGTATATATATATATGATATGAGAAATATCTATATACCAATTATATTTGTTTGCCACAATTACCTCTCTTAATGAATAATTGTATATATATATATATATATATATACAAAAAAATAATAATTTCTATTCAAAAAAAAAATAATAAAACTTGATTCAATAAATTATCATCTATATATAACTATTTTTTTTAAAAATATGAGAATCTTTATTTCTTTTGTTTATATATCTAACTTAAGTTCAACTGAAAAAATTATTAACAGAACTCCATGCTATAAAACAGACATAGAAAACGAAGAATTTAGTGATGTAATGGACTTGTAAATAAATATATATGAAAAAGGTGTAAGAATTTGTGTGTATATGCTACCAATTGAATTTAGTTAGCCATTCATGATTTAATATTTAAACCATTTGAATTTTGGCCTGAAAAGATGATGCTTCATTCATTGCATTGGATATCTTTTTATAAAAATTTGTCAGAAGGTGGTAAACAACCTAACTTCTTTATTAATTTTATTAATATATTTGTAAAATAAATTTAACCACTATTATTATTTCTAGATATAAAAATATTCAGCCTAATTATAATTTTTACCCCAGTTTAATTAAAGTTTTGCAACACATGTTTGTTATCTTGGAATTAAGTTTATTATTAAAAAAATTTTACGTGTCAAAAAACCAAATGAAAATTCTCGATATAGTCAAACCCTGTTATAACGGACCCTAGTTGCATCTGCTAATGTTATAAAGAGATTTGACTGCAAATAAAAAGGGCAGAGATAAAAATATGCAAATGTAGGACTTTTAGAGAGACAATTATAGCAGTAACTTTGTTTTTCACGAAAAATATTAATATTGCGAAAAATGAAAATCAATGCCTATAAATGGAATGATCTTACGCGCGATTCAAATTAAAGTAACTTCTTTTTTAAAAAAAGTTTTTTTTTTTTACAAAATTGAAGAAATGAAAATTTTTAATAAAAAAAATAAACCCAAGCTAGGTTGGCTTATTACTTTCAGTCAGGTAAAAATTGTTTAATATTATAAAATGAAAACAATAACAAGACATTTTTTTTTTGAAATAATAAATATATTAATTATTAATTAAAAAATACATATTAAATAAATGTAACTATGGTTAGGTTTTGTCCAAAAGTCGTGAGTCGGGTCTGAACTTTGTTTTTTGTGACGAAAATGGTGAGCCATTTACGG